TATAGCCTGCTGCCTACTAGGATGCCAAGTCTTTTTCTGCAGTGCTGCTGCTGAGCCAGGTGTTACTGGTCTGGACTGATGCATAAGGTTATTCCAGGTCAGATGCAGGAATTTCCATTTGTTGTCCCTGAATCTCATGGGGTTCTTGCCTGCATATTTCTCTAGTCTGCTGAGATCCCTCTGAAAGACAACTCTGCTGCATAAGGACAATTTTCCAGAATTGAAGGGCACTGACAAACATGCTGAGGAGTACTAGTGGAGACCTTTAGCAGTATAGACCCCAGCTTGGGAAACTTTGGGAACACCAGTAATAGCCAGGCAACAGCTGTATTTGGCAGTTCCTGATTACCTTGTCCTTCTGTTTATCTACCTAATTTGTATTCCATCTAACCTTTTCTATCTCAGCCGTTTGGCTTCAAGGATGCTGTAAATTACTGTGTCAGAAATGTTGCTAAGATCAAGGTAGGCAACACCAGCTGCTTTCCCCTCCTCCAAGAGAGTCATCTCACCAGAGCAAGTTTTCAGGTTGGTTGGTCAGTTCGCCCTTGGCAAACCTATGCTGGCTGTTTCTAGTCACCTCCTTGTCTTTCAAGTGCCTGAACATTGTTTTCAGAGAGACATACTCTTTCATTTTACCATAATCAGCCTGACTGGTCTGCAGCTGTGTAGTTTGGAGATGGCCTTGACAAATGGAATAGGAACATTGTGATGAGGGACCTGCCGTCCCTTTACACCTCAGCTCCAGTCTGTGGCTGATGCTTGAAAAAAGTTAAAATGTTTCGACAGGAGTATGTTATGGCCATTAGTTTGGAATACTTACTGTGTTAGCAGAAACCTTAACAGACTGCCCGTCTTTTTAGAATTAATCAGTGACCAGCAGCACAGGGTTTCTCTCCCCGGCAGTCTTTAAGGCTGTCCCTTCTAAGTAAGACATTAGCTCTCTGCAGTCTCTGATTTCAGTGTTTAACTCTCATTAGGATCAATGTTTCAGTGTAAGCACATGCTTTAGTGCTATCAGAAATGAGAATGGGTTTAAGTGTATGACTGAAGGGAAAAGAAGGAGGAAGCACTGTACCCCAAGTATCCATCTTACTGCTCTGGTGCATCTTTTTATGCCTGATTTGCCTTCAAATTGAATCTTTGATGCAGACGTTCCGTAATAATATTTTGAAGTTATTTGCATCCAGTCAACAGAACCTTTTTGTTGTAGTTTTAAATTAAGGACACTTGTGGTTTCAATTGTTGATAAGTAAAGCAGCAGGATTTCACACCAGTCAGGCCAAGGCTCGGTTACATTTTAGTCACAGCAGTGAAGAGATGCATGAAACTGACTGTACTGTAAAATCTCATTGTTACATGGATGAGGAAATAGAAAGGCTCCAGACAGTAGAAAAGTCAGGAAAAAGAATGCATATCACAGCTTTCAACAGAGAGAGTGGTTCAGAGAAAAAATGTGATTATTTATTTATTTATTTATTTATTGTAAACGGGGTTGCAAACCATGGTCTAAAGCTAATCAGGCAATGGGATCTGTCAGTGTGATAAGACCACTACATGCTGCTCATAGATCTTGCACAGTCACCTTGTCCCACCAAGCATAGGATTTTGGTAGAGCAAAGCCAAAAAGATTGGGTTTACCTCCAGGTGGCATTTTGTATGTATCTCTTCAACCTGTTATTTAATCTTTCCTTCTCTGCTTACAGTTATTTGTATAATTTCGGCATCACCGCAGTAAGACCTTTCCACCATGGGAAAGGTGGTCATTTGTCCATTTCAGTCTGAGCCTGAGATGTAATATAGCAAAGGGAATTCACATCTTAAATGGAAACTGTGTATTTGGGGGTCCTAAGAACTAAAGATAAGTCATTTCCAGAATGCTCTGGATATTAAATCAGGGACAATTCATGCAGTCGTATGGGAAATGTTTCAAAAATAGTTTGTTGTGGAAAAATATGCTAAAAATCATGTAATTTTCCACTGGTTGATTATGGAATTCCTGAAAAATACATCTGCTGAAAGCTTTGAGCTTTCATCAAAAATAGCTGATCTTTTCATATTGCATAGAGCAAAAGTTATCCTAATTATCTGGTTATTCCCTCCTATGCTTCAAGCAAGTCAACAGCTCTCCACAGTACTGACTCAGCTTCAGCCTAACAGACTGCAAAGACTTCTGAAAGTCATCAAAACTGGGCTTTTGCACACTACTGAGCAAAGCCTTTCCTCCAGTTTGCCTGGTCACCCCTTGCCATTTGAATTGAGCAGCTTAAGTACTGGAGCTAATATGTGTGCCACTGCAATAGATATAATGCTCTCTGCAGGAAGGACCCTCATCCTGGTCCTTTAAACGCTTTCCCTCTCTGCCAGTCTCATTACAAAGACTCATTCCTGTGCTGATAACAACAGCTGTGACAATAGGTATCAGCTCAATGTAGAATTAAGAACTGTTGAGCCTGAGGGGAAATTTTGTTCAGTCCTCTGGACATCTCCACCTGCACAGAGATGCCACTTGATGCCGCCTGGGTCTGGGCCCTCCCTAATGACCAGCTCTTGCCAGAAGCCTAGCTTGTTTTATCACCCCAAGAGGAGGCATGATGATCAACGCAGAATTAAAGTTCTGAGCATTTATGCTCAGTCTAGAGCTGCACCATCCACAAATGCCATCTGTGTCCACAGGCAGCCTCCCCCAGCAGGATCCTGCTTGTATCGGCATCTCTGCCTCTGGACTGCTGCAGTGCAGATTGTGGAGGCTGTGAGCTTTCGTCTCAAGAAATCCAGTTAATCTTGAAGGCAGAATATTTTCTGCTCTCTTTTTTCCTTTGGTTACTTTTTCTGTGTCAATCACCTGAAACAAATATGAGGCAGATAAATACTACCTTGCTTTATCAGTAACCAAAGCTGAGCTGGCAGAGATCCTGATGAGAATGTTTAGATGAGTGGGAAACACCTCCCTGTGAGGATTACCTTTATAAGCTGCAGTGCAAAGGGGTGGCTTTGAAGAATGATAGTGGAGAACAAAATATCAGCCGTTAAAACAAAAAAATCAATATTCTCTGGTCTTCTAAGTCCTGACTGTAGACATTTGGGACGTATTTTTCTTGCAGTGAAGGCATGTACCAGCAGCCCCATTGATTTTGTGCTTGTATCAGGAGGATGATCTATACCTCTTCTGGAGAGATGCAAGATCTCTGGACATAAGCACTGAGATTTCACAGCAAGATGTATCACGATTGCTATAAAATCACAATTTATCTGCAAAATTCCTTTTGACTGAGATAACATATTGCCAGGAAAGTAAAGCTGCTATGATTTTGTATAACAGTGCTCATGACATTTATGCACCATTGCTTCTTGCATATCTGCTGTGAACCAATGAGTACCTCAAGTCCAGAATGTAAAGGTGCATGATATTTACAAATCACAGCTTTTTCCACAATTTACTCCATGACAAGGACTGAATCACAGATGGAATGAAGGGTTGCAGTGCTTCTGTCTTTTTCTGGAGGTTTTCACATTTGTAGCACAGCACAGACATAGGTGTGCTCAGTACCAAAGGGGACGCTGAGCTATTCAACGTGCCCATGAAAATCTGTGTGCTAGCTCAGTTCTCATTTGAACAATTCCTGCTTCGTTTCAAAGTGCCCATTAACAAATACGGTTTAGGATGAGAGGGGTTTATTGTTTGTCTCCTATGCCCTCCAATCATGTTACGTTATTTCTCTTTGTCCAGCTTAATTTATCTTTTCAGTGCAACTCGTCTCATTTTTTTTAAAGTTCATGAAGTTAATGATTTGGTATTGAGAAACAATGTTTATGATTCCCATTTTTCTTGAAATTTGGAGATTTTGATTAAAAAAAAAAGATGAATTCTCCAGCTTTCAATCTTCATGAGTTCAAAATGCATTTTAATTTTATTTCTGGTTTTTAGTTTCAGTATGAAGGATCTCACTTTTTAACACAGGTTCCCATATCCTCCAATCTTGAAAGAATTAGTAAGATTTTAAACATTTAGCTAGTGGACAGGATCCTACAGAAAAGAAGAAAGTAGAAAAGAATGGAAAGATAAATCAGGAAACTTATAGAAATAAAATTAATTGAGTGTGTTTCTTTTAACTGTGTCACCACTGTGGAAAATGAATTTATAGAAGGTTTTTTTTTTTTTTAAATTTTATTTCAGCTTTGCAAGATGAAGCTAGAAACAGCACTAAAACTCACAGTGGATAGTCTATAAGTTATTTTTATGGTTGGCTTTACTGCTTGTTTGCATGACGCATCTCACGGAAATAACAGGCATTCAAACATCAACCAGCCACTGGCGTTCAATGAAGCTCATTAGTTTTAATTGTATTTATTTGTATGCCTATTATAGTAGCACTTAAAAGCTAAAATTAATATTGCTTAGATTGATTTAGGCATCTAAAAGTGAGGTATCTAGACTCTATCCATGACCAACACAGACAATTGAGGATAGCAAGGAGTGCCACCTGTCCTAGAGGCCCTTCTGAGGAAGGATGGATCTCTCTACAAAGGTGTTTATCTGCAGGTCACTGGAAGAGTCTGCTGTTAAGTGTTTGCTCTTTGTTTGCCTGCCGGTAGGCAAAACATCATGCCCAGAATAAAAATAACTTCGGGTAAATAGAGTATAATCAGGAAAGAGAGGGACAGAGGTGGAATCTGTCACCCAGCAGGTCAGTGACACAGCAAGTAAAATAACTGGCCTTGAGCTTTCCGGTCCGTGTTTTATTACAAGCTCTCTCATCACCTTTATAGTCTGTGCAAGCCCTGCATTTGGGAGTCACTGTGGGCAGGATGAGAGCCAGAATGGCCACCTGTAATGATTTAAAATGGGTGGGTTTATGCTTACTTGTTCAGTAATCACTGCTATACCTCATGTATTTCCCAACCAGGAGCACATTGCTGTGTTACCAGCTGCCCAGGGAGCAGTTTGAACTGGGAAAATGTCCCATTTAGACCTTGCTAACGAAGCCCCTTTTGCATTCCAGTTGACCTGGACAGGTTGAATGATGATGTGAAGCGCTACAGCTGCACTCCGAGAAACTACTCTGTCAATTTAAGGGAAGAACTGAAGCTGACAAATGCCGTTTTCTTCCCTCGCTGCCTCCTTGTCCAGCGCTGTGGAGGGAATTGTGGCTGTGGGACTTCAAATTGGAAATCCTGCACATGCGTGTCTGGGAAAACAGTGAAAAAATATCATGAGGTACTTCTTCTCTTTCCTTCAGTACTTTGTTTTGTTTATTTATTTGCTTATGTGAATTCTGAAGGCTTTTCTCAGATCTGCATGTGGTGCTGTGTTAATTATCATGTTACATCTGCACTGTGAAGCTGGGCAAAAACTTACTGACAGGCAGAGATGCTGTTGTTTGGGAGAGGCCAGGACGTTTCAATGAATGCCCACCATGATCAGTGTCCTTCGTGAGGAAAGAGATCTGCCTGGACTTCCAGACAGCATGTAGCCCAGAAATGGAGCCTAGACTTAGTCCTAACATTGTTTTTCTTGTCTGTATTGGATCCCTGTTCAATACCTCATGGAGCACATTCACATCCTCTAGTGCAGCAGGGGTGGAACTACAACGGATGCCAACAATCCCATGGGGATTTGGACATTTGGAGGTGGTGACAGAGCAGGGGGAGAGGAGGTTTATATGTGCTAGGAAGGGATGTTAACATAGATTTATGGGTAAGTTAATTTAGAAGTTGGAGATAACTTCTGCCACCTCTCTGCATGGATGCTACCATATAATCCCAGTTAGTTAGGCTTATCTTGGACCAATTTTCTTGGTGAAGGACTGATTCAGTCATATACCGGTGAAAGTACTCTTTTAGTAACAGAGAGATCTGTTCCTTGACGTATTTGACTGTGCTTTCTATTGGTTTATGCAGTGTCTCTTAAACTTATGGTCGCAGTAGGAAATGAAAATTAAGCTGTTTCTAAACTCTCTTCCCAGATTTATTGCCTGTAGGAAAGTTGAATCTTTCAGCTTTAGCTTTATTTTTTTTCCACTCAGCATTTTTTTAATGCAAAATTCTGGATGAGAAAAATGTCCATGATATTTATTTGTAGCATTCAGAAAAAGCAAGTTCCCTTTGTTGGGGAGAACAAGGAAAATTTTTTTGCCTCTGAATCAGCATTTTCAAAACCAGAAATAAACAATGTTCACCGAAGAGAACACATCTAGGAAGTTTACTTGGTGTGAGACTGTCAGTGTCTGAAAGCAAGTACCCATATGCCATGCTGACTTAGTTTCAAACACACAACTCTTTTAAGAGCCTCAGTTGCTACTTAAGTCTCAAGTTAAGGTGAACTTTACGGATATGGGCATGGGCAGCCCTGCCCATGGCAGGAGGATTGAAACTAGGTGATCTTTAAGGTCCCCCCCAACCTAAGTCATTCTATGATTCTATGATTCTGTGATTCCATGACTTTTAATCTAGAGGTGATGTGTGCTCATAAAGGCTTTAACTTGGAGAAACGGGCTGAACTATCTGGAGACTGTTTAGGAACAGACCTTTTGCCTCACTCTGAACACTCTGATTATTTTCCGAGTAAGAGATTTTTCTTACCATCAGCTGCACTGTATGGCATACTTCACATCAGCTGAGTCTAGAGAATAATTAATATTTTATCTAATTTTAAGCAAGATGCAGGGGATGACCCTGGTAATTACAGAGCAAAAAGCCTTATCTCAATGGGAGAAAAGTGAATTGGAAAAAAATATATATAAGTATAAAACACCTAGATGACTGCAAGCTGATAAAATGAAGCTAGAATGTTTTGCATACGAATGAATATTCATGCAGCATCACAGCATTATACAGCAATGCTGAAAGGCCTGGCACCTCCTTCAGGGAGCTGACTGTCTACCAGACACGATCAGTCGTGGATTAGTTAAAGAGCAAAGAGGTGGAAGAGATGAGCAGTTTGCTACATGGGAAGTGATATCTGTGGGTGCTCCCGGCGTGGGGATTAAGCATTATTTCATGTATGATCAATCTGGAAGGGGGTGAACTGAGAGTGGCAAGAATGACAGATAATGCAGGAGACAAAGTACTTTCACAGCATGGAAGGCTGCAAGGGTTTACAGCAGACCTGTGAAACTACTTATAAATGCTATTCAGAAAAGCAGCAAGCATTGGGACAAGCAGTCTTGACTATTTATCTATATACCACTGTATGTGAAAGGAAAGGAGTGGGAAGCTGGACTAAAGGTCGAGTGGTGAAGAGGTTCCGAGAAACATTTGTTTGTTACAGAGATGGTGATAAAAAAAAAAACAAGTGACAGTATTCTGCAGAAACAGATGTGAACAGAATAGCACAGCAAGCATTTACTATGGCTCAGATAAACAGGTGGGGTACTTGTATGGATTTTGACTGTTGCTGCTTAGAAATATGCAGGCAGGTGCAGAAAGGATAAATAGAAGCTCAAACCATAATCAGTAGAGACACAGCAGATGATACACATCAGAACTATTTTTAAAGAAAATGGCTCAAAAGTTTTGGATCCTTTCATTTAGAAAAACACTGTCAATAAGAGAAGGCACAATGAAAGATACAAAGTAGAGAATACTGCCTACAGGACATTCAGATCTTCTCCAAATAATTTTCTCCTTAGAAAAAGACCAAATACAGTCTGAGGAGTACTGAAAGGGAACTAATTTAAAATTATAAAAAGGAATTTAATTTTTTTTGCACAGTAAATCTATGTGGAATTTCATTACTTAAGTATAAGACTGAAGAATTCAAATTCAGAGCAATTCTAAGAGAATTGGAAGTAAAATATAAACTGAGAATCTTGTGTCAGAGCTTAGGCCAACTACTGAATCACAGAATCACAGAATAGGAGGGGTTGGAAGGGACCTCTAGAAATCATCCAATCCAACCCACTGCTAAAGCAGGTTCCCTACAGTAGGTCACACAGGGAAGTATCCAAATGGGCTTGAATATCTCCAGAGAAGGAGATCAACAGACTCTCTGGGCAGCCTGTTCCTGTGCTCCGTCATAGTAAAGAAGTTCTTCCTTTTGCTGAAATAGAACTTCCTGCATTCCTATTTCTGCCTGTTGTCCCTTGTGCTACTGTTGCTCGCCATCAAAAAGAGTCCATCCCCATCGACTTGACTCCCACACTTAGGATGTTTATAAACAGTGATGTGATTCCCTCTCAGCCTTCTCTTCTCTGAAGAGATCTCAGCATTTCCTCATACAGGAGATGCTCCAGGCCATTTATCACATTTGTTGCCCTCCCCTGGTCTCTTTCTAAGATCCCTGTCTTTTTTGAACTGGGGAGCCCCAGACTGTATTCCAGACATGACCTCACCAAGGCAGAGTAGACAGAAAACTGAGCAGCTAGAAAAAAATTTGGGCGTAAACATGCTGTCAACTAGTTATTTTTCATCGTGTCTTTGGGAACATTGATACTGGAACACTAGAATACCACACTAATCGGGTATTGGTCAGAATCGGAATGTCACAGCATATTAAATTAATCACTATATTCTGGAAATTCAATATTCAGATTAACACATTACTGCTAATTTATTATGCTGCTCCTTTGTTCTCTTTGTTCTGAAAAGTGTATGAATTTAAGACAAAGTTTCACCTTTAGCATTACATCGCTTCTGAAAGTTTGAAATTAAACTTAATCCCTTAGGCATGAATTAACAGCTCACTGAGCAGATATTTAGCCAAGCGGCTGCCATTAATGTGAGTGGAAGTCATGCAGATAAATTCACGTATGACATGCTAAAGATGTGTCCATTATTTTTATTTCAAAATACTTTACACTTTATTATCATTATTATTATTATTATTGGCTTCACACAAGCAGTCAGTTTTATTCTTTATTTGTCTCAACATTTAATTCTAATTCCACATAATCATCTAGCAGTAAATGTACAGAGGAGGAGCTTCTCGACACATCAGCTTTAGGACCATGTACGTCCCCCTCTCCTCAGCTCTTGTGAGGCCCCATCTGCAGCACTGTGTCCAGGCCTGGGGCCCCCAGTACAGGAAGGACGTGGAGCTCTTGGAGAGTGTGCAGAGGAGGGCCACCAAGATGATCAGAGGGCTGGAGCACCTCTCCTATGAGGAAGGGTTGAGGGAACTGAGCTTGTTTAGCTTGCAAAAGAGAAGGCTCCGGGAAGACCTCAGTGTGACCTTCCAGAACTTGAAGAGAACATAAAAACAGGGGAGGGAACAGCTGTTTACGAGAGTGGATAGTGATAGGACAAGGAGGAATGGTTTTAAACTGAGGCAGGGGAGGTTTGGGTTAGATATTAGGAGGAAGTTTTTCACATGGAGGGTGGTGACACACTGGAACAGGTTGCCCAAGGAGGCTGTGGATGCCCCATCCCTGGAGGCATTCAAGTCCAGGCTGGATGTGGCTCTGGGCAGCCTGGTCTGGTGGTTGGTGACCCTGCGCATAGCAGGGGGTTGAAACTCGATGATCATTGTGGTCCTTTTCAACCCAGGCCATTCTGTGATTCTATGACTCTATGCTTTATGCTTTATGAAGGCAATTTGAAACCCACTAACCTTAATCAAAAAGCCTTTCACTGCATGACAAAGGACAGAGTTTTATGCATTATGAAGTCCCCAGAGCCAAAACCTTTTCCTTCTGCTCCAGGACAAGGTCAACCAGGTTCAAATGCAAGTCTCAAATTACTTTGATTCAGTTGCAAAGACACGGAAGTACAAGACGGCAGAGCAAAGGACATGTCTGTAGCAATTAAAAGCAAATCATGTAGAATCCAGATTTCTTTTTTTTGCCAGATGAAATTTGCCTAAATGCTTCATCTGTCAAGCTCCTGGACCTGCTGTAGCTACACATCCTACACATGAATGTATTTGACCTCAATGGTAAAAACTGGAAAACATGTATAAGTTGTCTAACATTTCTGAGCTACCCCATACTCTACAGCCAGCATCCTGCAGTACCACAGCAGCTGCTGTGCTGAGGTACATGCTGGCACCTCTGGATGCACCAGTGCCATGTGCTCATTCTGAGAAAGGCTTACAGTCCAGAGAGATTTCAAGGTTACCTTCTTATGCTCTTGATGTTTTCCAGTTTCTGTTCAAAGCCTTATAACTGTGCTCATCAATAGGTCTCTTAGCATTCCCACTTTATTTCTGAGGACTAATAGCAATCACTTTTCCCCAAGCTGCTACTGCTGCAGTTCCTTGAACAGACCGTGCAGCTCTTT